CGCAAAGGCCAGGGCAGAGCCGGGAGCCTCCTGCTCCCCTTCCCTCCCCTCGGCCCGGTCGCCTCTGCTGCGCTCAGCTTGGCCCGGGAGGAGGAGGAGGGGTCCCCGGAGTGCTGGGACCACCCCGGCTCGTGCCCCAAAGCCGGCTGGGCACTGGGGCTGTCCCTGGCTGTGCAGCCCTGGCACCCCGTGTCTCCTTGCTGCAGGGCGTGGGGATGCCAAGTCTGGGGACCTCGAGGACGAAGGTAAGACCCTGGTGCCATCGTCCCGGCGCGGCTCTGGCCCCAGCTGCTGTGGCATCGTCGTGGCTGCGGGCTCTGCTGCTGGCGGAGGCAGTGTCCGTACCCCTGGGGGATGGGACCCAGTCCTCGCACGGTCCCGTGGGTCCTGCCAGCGCCGATGGCACCGTCTGTCCTTCCAGGTCTCTACCTGTACCTGGACGAGGACGGTGAGTGGAGCTGCCCTCCTGCGATCCTGGCTGTCCTCCCCATCCACCCACAGACCTCGGTGGGCCCCGTGCAATCTGTGCTGGGGCTCACAAGAGCCCAGGTCCCAGCTTGGCTGAGCCCATGGGGCCCCTGTGGCCACAGGCAGCCCCGGCGTGGGACCCCCAGGGCCGCGTGCTGGACTCCCGCACAGCAAACGGGGCGCTGGTCCCACGCTGGGCAGGGCTGGGAGGGTTCCCCAGGGGTGACCCCAAACAGCCCCCCCCCAAACTGGGCTCAGGGGGAGAGCTGGGCGCAGGGCACATCCCAGGGTCAGGCTGGTGCTCTGCAGGACTGCCGGAGGTGCTGGGGGGGCCAGCCCGCTGCCAGGACACCTACCAGGACTGGATCTCCCTCTACTGCTGGGCCCCCTTCCACGCCGCCCTCATGGCCACCCCCGAGGGCAGCCGCTGCCGCTGGGACCAGATCAGCAGGTGGGTCGGCGTCAGCCCTGGCGGTGCTGAATGCACGCTCGGAGCGGGGCCTTTGCGGGGCCGCCGTGGTGGATGCGTTCCCCGTCCCAGCAGGCTGCCCTCACGCCGGCCCCTCCGCAGCGCCTACAGTGAGCTCTCCGGCTGCACCCAGCTGCTGGCCCAGCTGCTCTCCTGCCCCTGGCCCAGCACCGTCCTCGACGCCTTCTTCCTGCAGGTCCACGCCGAATACTTCACCAACTGCACGGGGGCCAGGCCCCCCGGGCTGGGCGGGCTGCCCCCTGGGATGGCCGTGGCTGTGGCCATGGGGCTCGGCTGCCTCGTGCCCCTTGCAGCCGCCCTCACACTCCGCAGAGCCTGGAAAGGGGCTCAAACCCCAGCGGGCAGCTGCCCGGCCCCTGCCTGCCCCCACGCCCACGAGGGGCCAGCGGCAGCCCCCTTCCCTCCCACCCCTGGGAACCAACGGGCGGGACGAGTGGGCTGAGGGTGATGGGGACAGGGCAGAGCAGGGGTGGGGGTCTGGGCATCCCGGGGGATGGAGCGGGTCCTGTGGCACGGGGGGAGGCTGGGCCCGGGGCTCCGGATGCCGGAATCTGCCCCGGTGACGGGGAGCGTCAGGAGAAGGGTCCCGGGCACCGGGGTCCTGACCCTGCGTGAGCCGAGCCCCTTCCTTGGCGCTCTGGGGTGGGGGCTGGCAGGGAGTGCTGGGGATGCCAGGCTGGGGGTGGGAAGCCCTGGGCCTTGGCTGGCAGCCACCGGCCCATCCCTGCCTGTCCCATCCCTGCCCGGCCCCTCCGGATGCCCCAGGAGGGGGGTGGCCGTCCCAGCCCTGGAGCCGCGCTGAGATCATTGGGTGTCTCCCTGGCAGAGGCTCCCGCTGCCCGGCCAGAGGCTCGGAGGCTCCAACAAAGAGCGGAACCGGGGGGCTCCAACCCTGCAGCCCCCAGAGTGCCAGGGCCTGATGGCTTCCAGATGCGGCCACTTGCCCGTGAAAGGTCCTGCGGTGCCCTGGAGCGGCGACTGCCGCGGCCCGGGGAGGGTCGGGCAGCTCTGCCAGGACGTTTGTTGGGGAGCGTGAAGCCCAGCGAGATCGTCTTTCTGCAGCAGGGAGGGTCCCTCCGAGCTGCACTTCATCTCGCTCCGATTCACGCTCCACACGTCCCGCGGGCGGGCTGTTAAAGGGGAAGCTTTGGGCTCGCACTCTGCCCCGGGCCAGAGGTGAAATGAGCTCACCGGGCCTCAGCCCACTCCTCGGGTGGGAACGCTGCAGACCCACGGGGCCAGGGTCGTCCTCGGCAGCGCTGCTTTGCAGGGGGATGCGGGCCCCACAGGCGGGAGCTGCGCCAGGAGTGAGGGGCTCTGGCAGAGCAGGGCGGGCGCCAGGCTGGGCGCTGCGGGAGGAAGGCGCTGGGGCCGAGGACTGGCAACCGCGGCCAAGTCTCTGCCCGCTCCCCGCTTCCCCGCCTGCGTTGGCCTCGCACCCGCGGGCAGATCACGCCACCACCCTTCCCTCCCCGGCGGCAGGGCTGCCCCGGCGATGCCGGCCGTGGGGCAGGTGCCCGGGTGAGCCAGAAGCCACGGTGCTGGGGCCGTGGGTCCCCCTGCCACCCCTGCGCCGGGCGGCAGCGCCTGTCCGGGGACATTACGCTTCCCCGTCCACTCCCCCCGGCTGCCGGGCTGCCTGCCCTCCACGCAGGAGACGAGGGATTTCACAACCCAGCCCAGACAGGATTAAAGAGAAATACACAAGTAAACAAATAGCGGCCTCGTAAAACTGGACGTGCTGTGCGGGGAACGGAGCCTCTGGGCCGCCGGGTGAGGCACGGGCTACCGGGGCGCGGGAGCGATGCCCATGGGGGCCAGCACCGCGCGGCAGCGGGGTCCCGCCGGGAGAGCCGCTTTAAAGCAGCGCTGAGCAATCTCATTTTTCACACGTCTCCTGTAGTCAAACTGCCCCTGTCAGAGGAAAGGAGTTGCTTCCTGTTATTTCCATTGAAATACTTGTCCCGGTCGTTAGCCGGCAGGCTTTTGCAGGATGGCACCGCGCATGCAGACGGGCTCCGGCCGGCTCTCCCGAGGGCTCCTGCTGCTCTGGGGTAAGTGCGCGGGGGGCGGCCGTGGGG